CTAAACTAGGTCACATATTATATTTGATTGTTCAGTTTCTAATCTCTGCTTATCAATTTACTTGAAAATTTATCTTTGGACTTGCCTGGTGGTCCAGTGGTTAGGACTTCGAGCTTCCACTGCAGAGAGGGTGGGTTCGATCTCTGGTTGGGGAACTAAAATCCCACATGCTGAGTAGTGTAACCAGAAAAAGAAAAAATTTATCTTGATTTGCTTCCTTTTACTTTTCTTTTATTTTTTTTTAATATTCTACTTTATTTATTTATTTATTTGGTGGGGAAAGTTTGAGCAAGACAGTATTCTCCTCTTGCCTGTGGGGAAATCTAATACCTTGTTTACATATCTCAATATCCCTGGTCTTTATATATATGTATATATATAAATGTGTGAGTGTGTGTGTGTGTGTATTTTAGCCAAACACTGTTTTTCTAAAGTATATCTTTGAAAATAGCTACTAGGGAGCTAGAGATTAAAAACAAAAATTTGGGGATGTATTACTTAGTTTTATATTTTTCATGTTTGCAAAATTCATCTGAGTCAGAAAAAGAAGCTCTTTTATCATAAATCTTTAAGTGTAATGGCCTTGTCTCAGAATTACGACTTTTCTCATTCATTCCTCAAAGAAGTTTTCTTATTAAAAAAAAGACAGAGAAAATCATATTGTTTGTTTTTAGCAATTTCTAGAGGCAATTTGATACAATAGTAGGAAAGAAAAATATTGGCAGAGATTTAGAATTAGAAGGCTGGGGTTTGGGCCCACCTTTACAATGAACTAATGATTTGAATAAGTACTATAAGTTGCCTGAGCCATGGTTAATTCATAAGAAAGTTTGGACTGGTTGGTAGACAATATATACAGGTAACATTATACGATTTTATAATAAAATGTGACTGAAAACAATGAAGACTTTTTGTCCCTCTGACAAATATACCAGGTCTTAGGCTTCCCAATGAGGCCTGTCTTCAAAGCAGGCCCTTTGGAGCCATGAACTATTTTCCCCGATGCTGCTACACCTCAAACATTTCTGTAAATATTTTCAGAATCAGTTTACAAGCCACATAATAACACTACTATAAGTGCTTATAACACAATAAGCACTACTACCTGAGAAGCCTGTATGTGGGTCCAGAAGAGACAGTTAGAACCAGATATGGAACAACTGACTGGTTCAAAACTGGGAAAGGAGTACATCGAGGTTGTATATTGTCACCCTGCTTATTTAACTTCTATGCAGAGCGTATCATGTGAAATGCTGGGCTGGATGAATCCCAAGCTGGAATCAAGACTGCTGAGAGAAATATCAACAACCTCAGATATGCAGATGATACCACCCTAATGGCAGAAAGTGAAGAGGAACTAAAGAGCCTTTTGATGAGGGTGAAAGAGGAGAGTGAACAAGCTGGCTTGAAACTCAACATTTGAAAAACTGGGATCATGGCATCTGGGCGCATCACTTCATGGCAAATAGGAGGGAAAAAAGTGGAAGTGATGACAGACTTTATTTTCTTGGGCTTCGAAATCATTGCAGATGGTGACTGTGGCCATGAAATGAAAAGATGCTTGTTCCTTGGAAGAAAAGCTGTGACAAACCTAGATAGCATATTACAAAGCCGAGACATTACCTTGCTGACAAAGGTCCATCTAGTCAAAGATACGGTTTTTCCAATAGTCATGTATGGATGTGAGAGTTGGACCATAGAGAAGAATGAGCGCCAAAGAATTGATGCTTTTAAATTGTGGTGCTGGAGAAGACTCCTGAGAGTTCCTTGGACAGCAAGAAAATCCAGCCAGTCGATCCTAAAGGAAATCGACACTGAATATTCATTGAAGGGACTGATGCTGAAGCTGAAGCTCCAATACTTTGGCCACCTGATGTGAAGAGCTGACTCACTGGAAAAGATCCTGATGTTGGGAAAGATTATGGGTAGAAGAGGATGAGATGGTTGCATGGCATCACCGACTCAATGGACATGAATTTGAGCAAACTTCAGGAGATAGTGAAGGACAGGGAGCCTGGTGTGCTGCGGTCCATGGGGTCACAAATAGTCAGATATGACTGAGTGACTGAATGACAACAAAAACCTCACAGCCATATCTTCTCTTTTATTTAGTGAACATTTATTGCAGATTGGCAGCTTACATGAAGAGCTCATCTGGGTGCTGGAGTTGCCAAGGAAGGGTGGTGACTAAGATGAATAAAAGTTCCTGCCTGTTAAGTAACCAGCCATCTGGCTGTGGGGGTTGGGGGAGACACAAGCATAAAACAATCAAAGGGAGTATATGAAAACTCTGGGGAATGGAATTATCTCCACGACAGCATTAATATCCGCAAAGCCAAGATCCATGGGTTTGAGAAATGGACCTCTTTGATATGGAGACTATAACTTATATTTTGAGACTGATAAAGCAACTCTTTGATATTAATCAAAAGTGATTCCAGTGTCATCAGTTTAGCACTGGGTGGAGACATGAACAACAGCTGGAAGTTGAAAACTTCAGAGCATCTTTTTGGCAAAGTTGAAACACAAACAAACACATTTCACACTCAACTGTTGTTCAGTTGCTGAGTCCGACTCTTTGCCACCCCATGGACTGCAGCATGCCAGGCTTCCCTGTCCTTCACCATCTCCCGGAGTTTACTCAAACTCATGTCCATTGAGTCGGTGATGCCATCCAACCATCTCATCCTCTGTCGTCCCCTTCTCCTCCTGCCCTCACTCTTTCCCAGCATCAGGGTCTTTTCCAATGAATCGGCTCTTCGCATCAGGTGGCCACAGTATTGGAGTTTTAGCTTCAGTGTCAGTAATAATTTTTTTAAAAATTAGTAAATGCTCTTTTAAGAATCAAGGACATTGAAGGGTTAATATTTAACCCAAATTAAATATCCTACTTTCAGGTGTTTTCAGTGGTACTACATTTTTGCTGGATTATTTTTTCCAAACCTGTTAAATGATTCCTTCATAGTCATCCCGATAAATATCTCTTATGTTGACTGGAAATTTCAGTAAGTAGTTACTTATTGATGTTACTTGGCGCTGACTCCAAGCTAAGAAACGAGTAAGAGAAAAGCCATCACTACCCCATGCAAGGCAGGAGCTTGTCCCGCTGGTCACATCAAGTGCTCCCCTCAAGTGGGCTAATTAGTGATGGTTGTGGACTGATGCCCAGCTTGTAACCTTACTGATGTATCACCACAGTTTGTGCCAAGAGAAGAGGTGTCAAGTTGCCAAGTGTTGGAGAAATATTTTTTGAGGAAGACAGGCACAGCTTTTCAAAAGCATTAGTAAGCATAATCATGATTCTCATTTATTTCCTCAAAAAGTTATTGAAAACCTATCAAGGACCAGGTCTAAGGGCTATGGTTTATGGTTATTTCAGGCATGTTCAGTCAATTCAAACAGGAGACGGCACAGTCCCAGAGTGGACCAGCTGACATTCAAAGACAAAGGCTAAATTCATTCTCTGCTTCACGACCGGGGAAACTAATTACCATTGTATGTATTAAGACTCATTTCTTCTCCGTAGAACAGACACTAGGAAAAGAAGATTATCATCAGTAATTTAGATTCACTGAATTAATTAATTAATTAACTGAACCTGCCTATGCAACTTGGGTAGGTGAAGAATTATAGATGATGTCAAAGTAATTTAACAGCGTAAACGAGAACTGATAGATACCCACTTAAACACTCTCGAACAGTTTTATAAACAAAACAAAATGAAACAGCAAAAAAAAAAATCTTACTAAAAACCCCATAGTCACAGGCCTAAAATCCACCAATAAAGTATATTCTCAACTTATGGTTTCCCCAAGGCATCCAACAATGATTATCAAAGGGTTAGGAGCTAGAAACAACAGAATTTAAACCAATCTAACCCTCTGAAGCCCACTCCAGTGTTCTTGCCTGGAGAATCCCAGGGACGGGGGAGCCAGGTGGGCTGCCGTCTAAGGGGTCGCCCAGAGTCGGACACGACTGAAGCGACTTAGCAACACCAGCAGCAACAACCCTCTGAAGCACCTGACTCGCAATCTGCTGCTGCCCTGCCCCTTAGAGAGTAGGGAGAGAGTCAGAAAGGCTGGTTCCTCCCCACGCCCCACCCCAAAAGCTGGGGACAGGGACGAGGGGGGAGGGCAAGGTGTCTGGGATAGGACACAATTGACTGGGGGTGTGGTGTGGTTGCAGAGACAAGTCCCAAGTGCATGGTGGATGCAGAGATTGGAAGCAATGCGAGGCTGGTCCTCTGAGATTCCAGCATGTCCCTGGAGTCTCCTCCCGTGACCACACTCACCCCTGCTTTTCTTCTGTTGCCCTGCTTAGGTTGGGAAGAGAGAACAGGGATCAGGGGAGAAGCCGAGGTTTCACGCTCCTGTATAAATAGAAACAAAGGAGGAAGGCTGTTGGACATTGGGCCCCGCCTCGCCCGGTCAACCGCAACTGCTGCTGCTGCTGCTGCTAAGTCCCTTCAGTCGCGTCCGACTCTGTGCGACCCCACAGACGGCAGCCCACCAGGCTGCCCCATCCCTGGGATTCTCCAGGCAAGAACACTGGAGTGGGTTAACCACACAACTAGCAGACCTTACATGAACTAAATCCAAGAAACCACCTGGGTGACCTTGCTCTGACTTCCTTTATTTGTCGCACCCAGCTTGTTTCAAATTTCCCTTTCTGTCTCAATCAGCCACCTTTTTACAATGGCTATTAGGAGACTTTGCTAAATTAAGTGTTTTGATTTTAATTTAGCAGGTTTTGGAAAGCACTGCTGTGTTAGAGACTGCTGGTTTTCCCCATACCTGTTTTTTTCTCCTTGGTAATAGAACTCCTAGGGGAAACCCAGAGTCATGACTACAACTCCCAGCACCCGCTGAGGCTCCCTGTGGCCATGTAACTAAGTCCTGGTCAATGGGAAATAAGTGGAAGGTTTGTGCAGCACCTTTTGGGAGGATCTCAAAGGGAGAGAGCATCCCTTCCTCCCTGCCTTCATGCTTCTGCTGGTGGGAATGCGGAATACGGGCAAGATGCTAGAACTCAAGCACCAGCTGGGACCAGATGTTGATGCTGGTGAAGCAATAAGATTGAAAGAGCTTGGGTCCCTGCCAGCAGTGGAGCTCCTCTAGCAACTCTACCATAACTGACCTGAGGGCCAAATAAAGTCTCTCTTATTCCAGCCTTTGCCATTTTGGATTTTCTGTTACTCAGACCTAAGCCTAACTGATATACATGCGGTGTAACTGGATTTAAGTTAAAAATAGCAGATAATGTTGTTTGAATACTTAGTCTGTTCCAGGTAGGGTTTTAAGAGTTTTAGGTTTATTAACTCATTTAATACAACAACCCTATAAGAAGTATTATTATTGGATGGCATCACTGACTCAATGGACATGAGTTTGAAGCATGCTCTGGGAGATGGTAAAGGACAGGGAAGCCTGGTGTGCTGCAGTCCATGGGGTTGCAAAGAGTGGGACACAACTGAGCGACAGAACAACAATATAAGTACTATTATTATTCTCATCTTATGGATGAGAGAACCCTGTGAGGCTAAGTGACTTGCCCTAAGTCACACAGCTAGTAAATGGCAATGTTAGAACTTGAACCCAAGCAGTATGACTCCCAAGCATGTTCAATCTCATTTTCTACAACAGAAGTTGGTGAACTTCAGCCTGTGGTCAAATCCAGCCTGATGTCTCATTAAAAATATATTTATTGGAACACAGCCACGCACACTACACACTCATGCCATGCACACACACATGCACACTTTGTTCTACTGTTACTAACTGGGTTGGCCAGTTTATTCAGGTTTTTCCATAAGATCATATCTATCTATCTCTATCTGTGTTTCTATCTGTAAAATGTTATACATTAACACGAGCCCCACTAATAGATATTTGTGATCCCTTGAAGGCAGGAGTTGATGACTGTGATGTCTAAATATTATGGTCCTGAGATGTTGCTACTAAAACACTCTGAACCCTAGGGTCTATAACTATATTTAGTCAAAACAAACTAATTAATTAAAATAAGATGCCCAGTCAAATTTGAATTTCAGATAAACATTCTTTTTTTTTTAGTATAGGTGTTTTGCTTCTCTCACAACTATTGCGTGAAGCATACTTATACTAAGAAAGTTATTTGCCACTGACCTGAAATTTAAATCTACCTGGGAGTCCTGGAAAATTTAACTGCTAGCTCCACAGTCCCCATTCAGTGCTGCCAAAGAGGACAGAATTCTGGGAGACTGGCGTCCAGTTGGATGTTCACAGCCCTGTTCCTGGGAGGAAGAAGAACACCCAACTGGGAGGCCAAGTTCATGAGCCACCCAGAGAGTCACCAGCTGGACCCTAGTAAAGAAAATATTCCTTTTGAGAGCTCCTATGAAAATAATATTTAGCTTTATCAGAAGCTTTATATAGGAGTGCACTCTATAATTATTCATTTGCTAATTGCCACAACATCCTGTTGTAGTTGGTAAATAATCTTACTGTCGTCATCTTGCAATGAAGTCAGCAGGGGTAGAGGAGGTGGTGGCCCACTCACAGGGTAGCCAAGCCAGCGGGGAGTGTTCGGGCGGGGGCCTGGAATCCCGAGCTGTGGGTTCTCCGGCAGGCTCACCCAGGGCCAGCCCTAGCAACAGGAAAGCCCAAAAAAAATCAGAGAAGAGGAAGAAAATAGATGCTCTGAAACCCGTGAAAACGCCAGATTCTAAACAGCCCTATTGTTAAATAAAACAGACCAGAACAAAAAAAATATAGGAAGAGAACTGTCCAAGGCAGATCTTTTCCCCCCAGAGGAGAAATAGTCTGCTGACCCTTTGTTTCTCCCCAGGCAACGTGAATTCTCTTGTCAGTGCCTGGAAAAGGAAGACCATAAGAGAAGCAAAATTGTCTCACCTGTAATAACTATGGGCATCAGCTGAGTACCTCTTATATCGGGCAGTTTCATATATGACCAAATTTAATCTTTGCAACAAGTCTGCATGCCCCCACTTTATGGATGTGTTATTCGCTCAGTCATGTCCACTTCTTTGCAATCCCATGGACAGCAGCCCACCAGACTCCTCTATCCATGAAATTCTCCAGGCAAGAAAACGGGAGTGGGGAGCCATTCCTTTCTCCAGGGGATCTTCTGGACCCAGGGATCAAACCCAGGTCTCCTGCATTGCAGGCAGATTCTTTACCAGCTGAGCCACCAAGGAAGCCCACTTTATGGATGGGAAGGTTTAGGTTCAGAGGGTCCAAGAGCCTTTAGAGACACACACTGCTGTGAAGTAGAGGGACTGAGATTCAAGCCTAGGTCTTGCCCGACTGGAGCGCATGTACCATTTTCTGGGTAGATCTTTCCACCCACATATGGGGGGGAAAATCAGCATTTTTTTCTGACCCACCTAAATCTAATTAAATTGTCTTTTCTAATACTGTTTAAATTACATTTTATCTGTTTGCCTCATGAATCCTAAAGCAATCTCAGGACAAGGGCCAGGCACAGCCACCCAGAGAGTGGTTCCAAGGCTCCTAGCTCTGTACCAGTGCTCCCCCAAACACTATCCTGGCAGTTCTCCCCACAAAACCAGCAAGCAGAAGTAATGGGCTTTCCTGATATCATAAGGACCAGAGGTGGAGCTAGAATATATCTTTCAACTCTTGCCATGTCCTTGCAAAAGGCTGAGAAAATTACAGCAATCATCCCTAATCTGCAACTTGATTAATGCCCATTTTTCTTTATATGTTTTCTATGCCCTGTCCCACGACAAATGGGGAGAAGACTCCCTGCTAATTCCCTTTTAAGGGCTCTCTTGTTCCAGAGACTCTGGGTGTGATGTGGAATCCCCCACCACTCTCCTCTGACCCACCCAGCCTCCTTGCCTCCCTTCCCTTTAGGAAGCTGCCCATTGAGGCCAGACAAGTGGTGTTCCTGCCCCACAGGATGCCCACCTGACCACCTCCACACTGTAGGTAAGGGAGTTAGAGAAGGTGAGGTTCGAAAAAGAACGAGACCGGCATTTTAGAGGAACAGGTCACCTTTAATGAGGAGAGAAGGGGCGGCAGTCAGATTAGCGAGCTGCTGCACTAACCCAAGAAAAGAGGAAGTACATACAGGCATATATGTGGAAAGTTACTGTCTTAAGGGGGCCTGTTCTTCTCCAGGGTTGCTCGGAGTAGTTGTCTCTTAAATGGCTGGGTCAAGGACATCTGGAGATCGGCCAGAGGACCGGCTGGGAGCTGGGTGTAATCAACCTTAATGTCCATTTTTTTTTCTTCGGGTGAGAGAGTTCTTTGCTTTGCCTGGAACAGTGGGGAGGGCCTGGAGGGGACTTTTAACTACAGGCTATTTGAACCGTGTAACCTTCCTTCACACACTCCCACCCCGCTGGTTCCTCCCAGGTGCTGGCACAGAGCAGCAGATCCGGCTTGAAGCCAGATTGCTTTTGTATCGTTTGGACCTCCATTCCGACTTTCTTTACCACTGCCCAACCATGTGACTTTGGGAAAGACACCACATCTGGAAAGTCCATTTTCTAATTCTAATTAATAGACCTCTGAACTGGGGGTGAAACATGAGTGTGATCCTGACGGCTGGGTTCTCAGCGCCTGCTTGGCTCCTAACCACCCTGAGCCCGCCCTGGTAGCCCCTACTTCAGGAGGAGACGGGGTGTCGGCCCCTGGAGTGCAGACTCAGAGGGGAGTGGGCCCATGCCTCAGGACCTCAGCCTGGCCTGGAGGGTGGAAGAACGTGGCCAGGGAAAGCCCGCTCTGGGTCCCGAGTTTTAAAAATGTCCAAGGTGCTGCACGAAAATGCAGAGAGAAATGCCCACCCCGGGAAAGACTGTGTGACAGGAAGCCCGGGATGGGAGGGGTGTGTCTAGAGAGGAAGAAGCACCACAGGCTGGAAGAGCGACACGGGCCTCTAGAGAGACCCAACTCGGCTGCTACCCCGGCTTCAGCCTTCTGGCCTCCAGAACCACGGAAGAGTACATTTCTGTTGCCGTAAAGCCTGTGGTTTGTGATCCCGAGCTGCAGAAACTCTAAGGCACCAATACAGATGCTGTACTGATAGTATTGGGCTTCCCAGGTGGCCTGGGGGTAAAGAATCCACCTACCAATAAGGAGATGCAAGAGATGGGAGTTTGATCCCCCCGACCTGGAAGATCCCCTGGAGAAGGAAATGGCAACCCTCTCCAGCATTCTTGCCTAGAGAATCCCATGGACAGAGGAGCCTGGCAGGCTACTGTCCACAGGTCACAAAGAGTCAGCAGCATACACCAATGGTATCACTTTATCTGTGGGGGTACATTTAGGGAAATACTGGCTGACATCAAAGAGTGGTCCCCAGAGACCCACGGGCAGTCTGCTTCTCTGGATGGGTCCTGGGCTGCTTCTTCCACGTGAACCCCTCAGGGTGACCCAGCTCACTGAGTCCTCTCTCTTCCCCACTCGCCTCCGTCCCTCTCTAAACCTCTTTTCTTCCGAGGGGCAAACACCAGTTCCTTCATCTTACTTTCCTGGTGGCTCAGATGGTAAAGCGTCTGCCTACACTGCGGAGACCCGGGTTCAATCCCTGGGTTGGGAAGATTTCCTGGAGAAGGAAATGGCAACCCACTCCAGTATTCTTGCCTGGAAAATCCCATGGACGGAGGAGCCTTGTGGGCTACAGTCCATGGAGTCGCAAAGAGCCGGACATGACTGAGCGACTTCACTTTCACTTTCTTTTCATCTTGGTCATAAGCAGGGCAGTGTAGCCAACTCTTAGCTCCCAGTGCTCAGAGTTACTTGAGTGACTTATCAGAAGAATAAAGGCTGTTTTTAAGGAAATACATGCAGACTCACACAGATAATCAATCCTCTGTCAGCAGCTGCTTAAAAAAATACATGTTGTTGAATGATTACAACATGTAAATTACAAACAGCAAGTAGGGATTAGCTTCATTTACATGTTGGGAAACTGAGGCTCCGGCAGGTTAAACAACTCGCCCAAGATGGATCTGAGGTTTAAACGGAAACTATCTGATGGCGTACCCTCCACAGGGTCACAAAGGGCCAGACACAGCAACAATATGACTTTAA